CCCTCCTTCTCGCGGCCGCTGATCCGCGCCCTGGCCGATCTGCTGTACGAGCACACGTCGCTGGCGAAAGAGTCAGCCTCGCTCGCCGCGCTCTACGCGCCCCTGACGGGCGTCCTGGCCTCCGCGCACGCCGTCTCGCATCCCCAGCGTGCCATGCTGGCGCTCATGCTCTGTCAGCGCTGGTCGGGCGAGCTGGCGCCGCCGCATGGGAGTCTGCGGGATCGGCTGCGCCAGCTGCTAGGCCGCGACGAGGTGTGGTGGTGTAGCTACCTGGGCTCAGTGGCCGCGCTGGTGGCGGACGTGTATCCCGCTGGGCGGGTGGAGAGGGGGAGGGAGAGGGTCGCTTTTAATGCGAGTTGGGGCGCGGGGATGGGGAAGAAGGGCGTGGATGAGGGTGTTAGATTGGCGGTTTGCACGCGCGAGGGGGGGATGTGATGACGGGGTTGGGCGTGTTGGGTGATGCAGTCAAAGGCGTTGAGGATGTGGGTAAGAAGAAACATTGGGTTGATGGGCCGGAGGGCTGGGGGTTGAGGGTTGAGGTCAGCGTCGAGCCTTCTCTATGAGGTACTTCGTAGATCATATCTACATGCTTTGAGGTCGATAAACCAGCATGTCACCACATCCCTGCCCTATCCATCCTGACTGTGTTGTTGGCATGGTGAGCGGTTTCTACCCAAGACCAACACCCCCAAGAAGCAGAGTATGTAACCGGAAAGAAAGCGAAGGAGAGAGAGAGACAGGGCGCAGTGAAGAAACAAAAAAAAAGAAAAGAAAAGAAAAAAGAGAAAACCAGAGCTGGAGAATGGATGTAGGAAGAGAACAAGAATACGTCTTCTTCTTCGGGTTTCAAATCGTCGATCCCTCCCTCCTCGTTTCAGCAGAGGAGTCAGCATGATAGAAGCAGCAGCTTTGTGCAGTAGAGCCACTTGGACCCTTTAGCGGTCACGGTGGCGGGTATGGTGATTTGGATGCCGATGGGACATTCATTCAAGTAAGAGTGACACCGGTCGCAAGGACTCAATAGTAACAAGCTGGTTTGCTGCCTGTGAGGCTTTGAGGCATGTTTCTAGGGTTGGAAGCTTCGGCTCAAAGACACGGGGTTTTCATGATTAACAGCTCGATGTGATGGAGAGCGGCGTCGGAGAAAAGTCATAATACTCGATATATGCACTCATCATAGGTATACACATGAAAGCGATTGTTGCTATATCAAGCGTGGTATGTTCTGCTCACACTGCCATATTTGGCCTGCCAGGCAAAAAAGTACAGGAGAGCAGCCAGGGGCTGGCCGACCAAGCAAAAGCTGATCCAGAATATGCAGTTCCCAATCACTTTGCCTGTGATACCCTCGATCCTTGTTAATGGTCTAGTGATCATGATCAGTGGCAGCTGAACCACCATCCCGAAGAATGCAACACCTGGCAGCTATGTTAGAAACCAGGTGGCCCGCAAGGAGAGGGAACTCACCAAGTATATTGTGCGTTGGTACGCCTACAGCCAGCTCGTGCAGAAATCCCGAGAACACAAACACCATTGCACTTGCTGTCTGAGGACCCCATCCTCGGCCCACCAGAGGCGAAAAGATATGCCTTCGCATGAAGTGATACACGGGCTTGTTCCACGTGCTCCAGTATGTCTGCAAGTCCGTACTATTCCACCAATCTCCGTAAAAGTTACGATCACCAAACCTGGTAATCTCTGCCAGAGCATTCATGAATGATTGAAACAGTGCAAAGAATCCAGCAAGCCATATAACAAGGGAGATGGTAGAGAGCTTCATCAATCGTTCTAGGATGGAGGGTAAATCCAGTATTGCCATCTTGTCCAGAGAGTTGCGGAGCAGGGGCGAAGCGTATTGTGCCGAAGTAAGCCAGATGAAGACCGAAAGACCAATGACTTCCAGCGTCCGTTTCATGACGAAAATCCATCGGATGTGTGATGTGCGCGGATAGACAGGTTGATACACCAGGGTAGGTGCCCACCAAAAGTAGGCCAGGTTTTGGAAGGTGATATTCTGGGGATAGGGGCACGCCAGATACATCTCGGGCAGCAAGTTCGGGCTGGTTGGATGCAGCATCGCATGTCGAAGATCGCGGTTGGTGAAAGCATATGAGCAGTTCTTAAGCCATACGATGATAGCGTGAAGCTCGCATAGCGTACCGATGCCCGGGTGATGGATATAAAAGTAGACCACCACGTTGGTGATACCGAGACACAGGCTAGCATTGATGGTATGAGCCACAGCAATGTATGTCCACGTCGCATTGAACTCTCTCCTGTCTTTAGCGTTCTCGGGGGTACGTACGCCTGCGTCGCTCCTCTGTCTCCGGCCGATGGCTCCTCGCGCTTGCTGAGCGGCCACCACCTCGATGATGTATGCGGCCAGTAAGTGGATAGGTATGAGAGCGTAAAGAAGAGCCCCGAGAACGACATCCTGCCTCCTGACATCGTGGCAGCTGATGCAGATCAAGACTCCGTACTTCATGAAGTTCTCCACCACAAGTCGAAGATTCATGACGATCACGACCAGAACGAGAAGATTGCGGAATCCAAGAAAACTGGGAGATACAGCCGCTTCGTGACTGATGCATGACGGCTGATTCTTCCAGTGCAAGGCCGCAACGTGTCTATATTTTTTCTTGGGCTTTCCCGATCCCAGTTCGGCTGGCTCACTGGGTTTCAAGGTCTGCTGCTTTGGGGTTGACCGCAGAGTTCCATTGGTCTTGGATGTACTCTCTCCAAGGAGCTCTACGGCTGTAGTCACAGCAGTGTGGGTAGTGTCTGGCATAGCGCTAAGGGCGCAATCTTCTGTCGGGTTCCGTGCTCTGGTAGGGAATGTCGAATCTTCAGGGCCACAACCAGTTCGAGGAAGCACGAAGGTGGTGCAGCAGGGTAGGAAGGCGGCACCGCAGCATTTCGGAATGCAATGCGTTCACAATATGAAACAACAATGGAAATTGAAGCAGCAAAAGCAGGCGGATGCCGGGTAGAGATTGTAGACAGCTTCTTGGGGCAGTGGCGCAATCCACCGAATAAGTTGAATCGCTTCCTTCCTTATCATTCATCATTGTTGGGCCAGAGTCTAGAGGGGAGGCGGACAGGGGGCCAGGGGGACAGGGGACAAGGGGTAGGGGATAGGGGGGCCAGGGAGCAGATTAATGCCAAGCCATGACAGCTCCTTCATTCCGCCGCAGAGCAGAGCGTTAAGGACTTCGACTTCGACTCTGACTCTCCTTCTCCGCAGCCAGAACAAATACATAAAGGTAAAGTTGCTGAGGAGAAATCATCCTGATAACATCCACAGCTGTACCAGCGTCAATCCACCCTCCAAACCTCACGTTCGCTATGCAAGGGTAAACAAGTCACGGAGCTCCATTGACTACCAGATCAACCCTGTCCAACCCCGACGCATTATGCGCTGGATACTCTAATGAGGAGCCGGAAAACACCGAGAATAAAGACGACCTATCTTGATAATGGCAGCAAATGGGTATGAGTACGAGCCGGGAGGTGATGGTTTTGCCAACCGCAGACGAAGACCACGACCTGTCACTGACTACGGGTCGTCGCTTGTACAATACATGCGAAGTCGCCGACCACGGTACAGAGGGTCACACCATCTCGAAGCCGAAAGACCCAGCCCGAGTTATATCGTCGATGTGCTTCCTCCCGCAGCAAAGCTGGACTGTCCCGCCGACGCTATACCCGTACGGCACCTACATTCCTCCCTCGGCAAGTCTAAGAAGCCAGTCACGGTGGTAAGGTGGATGCCAGAAGGGCGTCGGCTGCTGGCTGGAGTACACAATGGAGAATTTATGCTGTGGAATGGCATGGCCTTCAACTTTGAGACAGTAACTGCCGTGGGCTCCTCCTCTCTTCGAGCAGCGGAATGGTCGCACAAACGAGATTGGCTTTTGGCGGCGAATGATGAAGGAATAGTCTACTATCTTCAGCCTACACTCAACAATCCACACAAATTTCAAGCTCATGCAATGCCTGTGCGAGATCTTGCCTTTGCTCCGTCGGATTCCAAGTTCGTGACAGCATCAGATGATGCCACTCTCAAGATCTGGGACTTCACCACCTCAAATGATGAGTCCACTCTGCAGGGCCACAATTGGGATGCCAAGTGTTGTGACTGGCATCCTTCGAAAGGTCTCATTGTGTCAGGCAGCAAAGACCACTCGGTGAAGTTGTGGGATCCTCGCTCCACCCGGAACCTGACCACGCTTCATTCTCATAAAAATGCGCTTACTGCAACAGTCTTCTCGCGTCTCCGCGACCAACTATTGGCAACAGCGGGCCGAGATAATCTAGCTCGGATCTTTGACCTCAGAATGATGCGTGATGTGTGCGTCTTAAGAGGTCACGAAAAGGGCATAACTGCAGTCTCATGGCATCCGGTCCACTCATCTCTACTCTCTACTGGCTCAGATGATGGCTCAATACATTCGTATCTTCTCGACGAACCCAACCCTCCTGTCGGGGTATCAACCTCCGAGGTCTCCCCGTACAATTCTCTTGATCCGTCATCTACACCAGCCCAATCCATCTATCCAGCCCATCGTATCTCGCATGCACACGAATCAAGCGTCTGGTCATTAGATTGGCATCCGCTTGGACATATACTAGCCTCTGGCTCCAATGATCATTTCACTCGATTCTGGAGCCGTGCTCGACCTGGTGAGACCAATTGCTTCAAAGACCAGTATCACCTGGGCGAAGAAGGTGCGGAAGCACAAGGTACGTGGGATCGTAAATATGGTCGCAAGCAGGCGCGTGAGCAAGAGGAGCAAGAATTGGAAGACGAGGCGGAAGGTCTGGAAGATCAACGTGCCTCGGGAGCCAACACGGCTTTCTCAATTCCGGGTCTTCCAATCCCTGGCATCAATGGCAGTGGATCTAATCTTCTTCCGGGGATGGGTCATGTACCGCCGCCGCCCGTCCAAGCAGGCAGTGCTGCGAGCATGCCCAGCATAGCTGGAATGGACCCAACACGTTTGGCCCAGTTATTTCCACAAGCCAATCCAGGCTTCGTGCCACCGCCTCCTCCGCCGGGGGCTCCCGGTGGGTTGCCCGTAGACTTCTCAAAGCTTCAATTACCTGCGGGCTTCAAGCTCCCACCAGGTTTTCCGCCTCCTCCTGTACCTGGCGGCTTCCCGCAAGGACAGCCCAACGGCTTACCTGGTCTGGTTGGTAATGTCCCAGGCTTGAACGGAGCCGGTGAAGACTCTAGTAATGGTGGTATTAGACGAAGAGCGCCATTACCGAGCCAGCAGGAAAGTCTGATGGCTGAGCAGAGGAGGGGAAATTTCCGGATATCACGATAAAGGAGAGCACAGCATGATTTATGATTCGCCTGCTAGAGCGCAGTTGGACTCATACTACTGTGTCATACACAAAGGCTTTGACCGTTGGTTCCAAGGGCAACCTGCAGCGTCTTGGAATGTCTGCAATTTCCGGAAATCAGCTAGCTTGGTATTTCTATTTCACATCAGAGATGCTCAGTCATAAGTAGATATTTCTTGTGTGTCATCGACAGAATCTCCTTGCCAGATGAATCCTCACCTGCATGGGTCAGTGAAGTGTCCGACTTCGTGCAGTTAACTTGCAGAACTGGCTTCTATTGATCCTCAAAATGTACTTGGACACCGACCGACACCAGTCTACTGACCTCTCTACATACTGGCTGATGAATGTCAAAGACCGCCGACGTGCGACGCTGAATTGTGAAACTTTAGACAAGACCGGCTTATCTTGTCTATCTTGTTGTTCCTGCCTAGCATTAAATTCAGAGGACTTTCATGCATGGCTCTTAACCGCAGCTTCAAACTGCACGGCCGATCAGGTCTTGTAATGGCTGTTCACACCCAATCCAGAAATACGAAAAAGAAATCCATGCTGAATTAATTTGGTATTCTAGGTGGAAGTGACAATGCATCGCTTTGACAGCCTCGGGCTCCATCGGTTAGAAGCGGACACTTACATCCATATCCCAACACCGCATGAGCTGGTAGATGAAATGCAAAGTACGAAGATCTCGACGAGCACTGCACAGAGCCTTATCTGTTGAGTGGATTATGTGTTCGCCATCTCCTTGCTTGACAGCCTGCCTTCGAAATAAAAGTGCTTGTCAGCTTCAGCTTCAGCTTCAGCTTCAGCTTCAAGATGGCGAGGTCAATAGGTGGCTTACCGTTCGAGATTAATACCCAAATCCTGCAATACCTCGATTACCGCTCCCAGATCAACCTGCGAGCATGTAACTGGTACTACCACAGCCTGCCAGCAACGAGCGACAACATGCCCATTCTGCTCATGGAGCTGGAGATGTCTTCAAAAAAAGCAAACCCGAAGCACCTCTTCATCAATGGTTTCCTTCCGTGCTACACATGCCTCCAAATGCGTCCAAGAGCTCTATTCTGCAGCGACTACCTCCAAAATCGACTGCGAGCAGCAGGTCAAAGCAATGCAATTCTCCGCGTCTGTTGGGAATGCCAACCCGGTCATGACGACAGCCACCTTATTCGCTCTGGTTGTAGCAAAAAGCGCTGTCCCTGCGCGAAGAAGGTGGAAATGCTTCTCACAGGTGCGGAGCCTACGAGACCCAGCTATTATTTCCTACCTTTTTAGCTAACCGTTCCACCCCCAGGCAAAACTTTTCCACCTGTTCAGCTCCAGACCCTCCCGCTCAAGATCCACAACCGCATCATAAAACTCTTAGACGCCAAATCTCTCGCCAAACTTAGTGCTACCGGCACCTTCTTCCGCAAGAAGATCTCCAGGGGCGACATCGAACGGAGACTCTGTCACGAAGCTGTGGATTTAGGCCCGTGTCTCTCTCCTCAAGTCTGTGTATGTTATATTCTGTGTGCGTTGGGTGAACAGATCGTCAGCAGAGCATTCTGGCACGCCACCCGACCATCTCGCGCTTACCTATCTTGATATCGACTCCATCTCAGCCAAAGGGGAGGATGTATGGTACTTGGAGAAATGCATGCACAAAGAGTGTGATGGGTGGAACGTTACTGTGCTTGTCTTTCGAAACACCACGAAAAGAGACGCGCTCCTTTCACGCTGACTAGACCTCACACCCAATTCGACGGAGCAGTGCAATATCATGATCGGTGGCCTCTGTCACACCTATTTCGATGGCAAGCGGTCTGGCTTCGAGAAGAATCAAATCCGGCGTGCTTTTCCGGAGGAACTGTATCCAACCCTGGTTGGGAGGAGGCTGTTCACATGCCTCTTGGTACGAACAGCGACGCCCTCATCAGAATCATTATGGGCTTGAACAACACCAAATACGCAGATACGCAGATAAACCCGAGCTCAAATCAAGCATTCTAACAACGTTAACGCTTCATCCGTGCTTTGTCTCCCGTGAGGGCCCACTCACTCACTGCTTGCTTGAAAACGTCGGAGTTCCTACCTAACTACTGACTTTGATTTTGCATCTTCTCTCCACCACAATGTTGACGAAGAGCCCAGCCCACCAGCTCCAACACATCATGACTACGCCCCTTCCCGCCTTCCCTCCTATCCTCTCCTCCTCTCCCTCCCGCCCGAAAATCCCCCTTCACCGCCGTCCAGCAAGGTAATAAAGCCACCCCCTCCCCGTCCCGCCCCCTCCC